TTAAGGTTGGTTCTGCAGCGCTAAAGATGCCCCCTCCTACGGCATCGGAGCCAGTACGTGTACACTGCACATAACGTGCATAGGCCTCCTTGGACAAAAAAACCTAGGTGGGTAAAACGCGGAACTCTCATTTTAAAAGGTCTTCCCGGGTGAATTTCGGAAAGAAAAAAATCAGAGGAGTTGTTGAGAATATAATACAATTATCCAGATTAAAACTAAAAGATTGTGACGATTTTTAATGTTGGTTCTGCAGCGCTAAAGATGCCCCCTCCTACTGCATCGGAGCCAGTACGTGTACACTGCACATAACGTGCATAGGCCTACTTGGACAAAAAACCTAGGTGGGTAAAACGCGGAACTCTCATTTTAAAAGGTCTTCCCGGGTGAATTTCCGAAAGAAAAAAATCACAGGAGTTGTTGAGAATATAATACATTTATCCAGATTAAAATTAAAAGATTGTGACGATTTTTAATGTTGGTTCTGCAGCGCTAAAGATGCCCCCTCCTACGGCATCGGAGCCAGTACGTGTACACTGCACATAACGTGCATAGGCCTCCTTGGACAAAAAAACCTAGGTGGGTAAAACGCGGAACTCTCATTTTAAAAGGTCTTCCCGGGTGAATTTCGGAAAGAAAAAAATCAGAGGAGTTGTTGAGAATATAATACACTTATCCAGATTAAATTTAAAAGATTGTGACGATTTTTAAGGTTGGTTCTGCAGCGCTAAAGATGCCCCCTCCTACGGCATCGGAGCCAGTACGTGTACACTGCACATAACGTGCATAGGCCTCCTTGGACAAAAAAACCTAGGTGGGTAAAACGCGGAACTCTCATTTTAAAAGGTCTTCCCGGGTGAATTTCGGAAAGAAAAAAATCAGAGGAGTTGTTGAGAATATAATACACTTATCCAGATTAAATTTAAAAGATTGTGACGATTTTTAAGGTTGGTTCTGCAGCGCTAAAGATGCCCCCTCCTACGGCATCGGAGCCAGTACGTGTACACTGCACATAACGTGCATAGGCCTCCTTGGACAAAAAAACCTAGGTGGGTAAAACGCGGAACTCTCATTTTAAAAGGTCTTCCCGGGTGAATTTCCGAAAGAAAAAAATCAGAGGAGTTGTTGAGAATATAATACACTTATCCAGATTAAATTTAAAAGATTGTGACGATTTTTAAGGTTGGTTCTGCAGCGCTAAAGATGCCCCCTCCTACGGCATCGGAGCCAGTACGTGTACACTGCACATAACGTGCATAGGCCTCCTTGGACAAAAAAACCTAGGTGGGTAAAACGCGGAACTCTCATTTTAAAAGGTCTTCCCGGGTGAATTTCCGAAAGAAAAAAATCAGAGGAGTTGTTGAGAATATAATACATTTATCCAGATTAAAACTAAAAGATTGTGACGATTTTTAATGTTGGTTCTGCAGCGCTAAAGATGCCCCCTCCTACTGCATCGGAGCCAGTACGTGTACACTGCACATAACGTGCATAGGCCTACTTGGACAAAAAACCTAGGTGGGTAAAACGCGGAACTCTCATTTTAAAAGGTCTTCCCGGGTGAATTTCGGAAAGAAAAAAATCACAGGAGTTGTTGAGAATATAATACATTTATCCAGATTAAAATTAAAAGATTGTGACGATTTTTAATGTTGGTTCTGCAGCGCTAAAGATGCCCCCTCCTACGGCATCGGAGCCAGTACGTGTACACTGCACATAACGTGCATAGGCCTCCTTGGACAAAAAAACCTAGGTGGGTAAAACGCGGAACTCTCATTTTAAAAGGTCTTCCCGGGTGAATTTCGGAAAGAAAAAAATCAGAGGAGTTGTTGAGAATATAATACATTTATCCAGATTAAAATTAAAAGATTGTGACTATTTTTAATGTTGGTTCTGCAGCGCTAAAGATGCCCCCTCCTACGGCATCGGAGCCAGTACGTGTACACTGCACATAACGTGCATAGGCCTACTTGGACCCAAAAAACCTAGGTGGGTAAAACGCGGAACTCTCATTTTAAAAGGTCTTCCCGGGTGAATTTCGGAAAGAAAAAAATCAGAGGAGTTGTTGAGAATATAATACATTTATCCAGATTAAAATTAAAAGATTGTGACGATTTTTAATGTTGGTTCTGCAGCGCTAAAGATGCCCCCTTCTACGGCATCGGAGCCAGTACGTGTACACTGCACATAACGTGCATAGGCCTACTTGGACAAAAAAAACCTAGGTGGGTAAAACGCGGAACTCTCATTTTAAAAGGTCTTCCCGGGTGAATTTCGGAAAGAAAAAAAATCAGAGGAGTTGTTGAGAATATAATACATTTATCCAGATTAAAATTAAAAGATTGTGACGATTTTTAATGTTGGTTCTGCAGCGCTAAAGATGCCCCCTCCTACGGCATCGGAGCCAGTACGTGTACACTGCACATAACGTGCATAGGCCTCCTTGGACAAAAAAACCTAGGTGGGTAAAACGCGGAACTCTCATTTTAAAAGGTCTTCCCGGGTGAATTTCGGAAAGAAAAAAATCAGAGGAGTTGTTGAGAATATAATACACTTATCCAGATTAAATTTAAAAGATTGTGACGATTTTTAATGTTGGTTCTGCAGCGCTAAAGATGCCCCCTCCTACGGCATCGGAGCCAGTACGTGTACACTGCACATAACGTGCATAGGCCTCCTTGGACAAAAAAACCTAGGTGGGTAAAACGCGGAACTCTCATTTTAAAAGGTCTTCCCGGGTGAATTTCGGAAAGAAAAAAATCAGAGGAGTTGTTGAGAATATAATACATTTATCCAGATTAAAATTAAAAGATTGTGACGATTTTTAATGTTGGTTCTGCAGCGCTAAAGATGCCCCCTCCTACGGCATCGGAGCCAGTACGTGTACACTGCACATAACGTGCATAGGCCTCCTTGGACAAAAAAACCTAGGTGGGTAAAACGCGGAACTCTCATTTTAAAAGGTCTTCCCGGGTGAATTTCGGAAAGAAAAAAATCACAGGAGTTGTTGAGAATATAATACACTTATCCAGATTAAATTTAAAAGATTGTGACGATTTTTAAGGTTGGTTCTGCAGCGCTAAAGATGCCCCCTCCTACGGCATCGGAGCCAGTACGTGTACACTGCACATAACGTGCATAGGCCTCCTTGGACAAAAAAACCTAGGTGGGTAAAACGCGGAACTCTCATTTTAAAAGGTCTTCCCGGGTGAATTTCCGAAAGAAAAAAATCAGAGGAGTTGTTGAGAAAATAATACATTTATCCAGATTAAAATTAAAAGATTGTGACGATTTTTAATGTTGGTTCTGCAGCGCTAAAGATGCCCCCTCCTACGGCATCGGAGCCAGTACGCGTATACTGCACATACCGTGCATAGGCCTATTTGCACAAAAAACCTAGGTGGGTAAAACGCGGAACTCTCATTTTAAAAGGTCTTCCCGGGTGAATTTCCGAAAGAAAAAAATCAGAGGAGTTGTTGAGAATATAATACATTTATCCAGATTAAAACTAAAAGATTGTGACGATTTTTAAGGTTGGTTCTGCAGCGCTAAAGATGCCCCCTCCTACGGCATCGGAGCCAGTACGTGTACACTGCACATAACGTGCATAGGCCTCCTTGGACAAAAAAACCTAGGTGGGTAAAACGCGGAACTCTCATTTTAAAAGGTCTTCCCGGGTGAATTTCGGAAAGAAAAAAATCACAGGAGTTGTTGAGAATATAATACACTTATCGAGATTAAATTTAAAAGATTGTGACGATTTTTAATGTTGGTTCTGCAGCGCTAAAGATGCCCCCTCCTACGGCATCGGAGCCAGTACGTGTACACTGCACATAACGTGCATAGGCCTCCTTGGACCAAAAAACCTAGGTGGGTAAAACGCGGAACTCTCATTTTAAAAGGTCTTCCCGGGTGAATTTCCGAAAGAAAAAAATCAGAGGAGTTGTTGAGAATATAATACATTTATCCAGATTAAAACTAAAAGATTGTGACGATTTTTAATGTTGGTTCTGCAGCGCTAAAGATGCCCCCTCCTACTGCATCGGAGCCAGTACGTGTACACTGCACATAACGTGCATAGGCCTACTTGGACAAAAAACCTAGGTGGGTAAAACGCGGAACTCTCATTTTAAAAGGTCTTCCCGGGTGAATTTCGGAAAGAAAAAAATCAGAGGAGTTGTTGAGAATATAATACATTTATCCAGATTAAAATTAAAAGATTGTGACGATTTCTAATGTTGGTTCTGCAGCGCTAAAGATGCCCCCTCCTACGGCATCGGAGCCAGTACGCGTATACTGCACATACCGTGCATAGGCCTATTTGGACAAATAACCCTTACACTTATCCAGATTAAAATTAAAACATTGTGATGATTTTTAATTTTGATTCTGCCTGTGTAAAACGCGAAACTCTCGGAGGCCCATACCCATTGATTGCGTTGCCTGGGTAAAACATGGAACTATTGATACAGAAGGCCTTCCCATAAACTTGTGGAGGATATAAGACAATTGTTGACATTGCAAATAAAACATTACGATTATTCCATAATGTTACTTCTGCAGAATTCGTTCTGCAGCGGTACATTATCCCCCTATCAACTGTTTAAAACACGTGCTTCACAGAGCACTGAGTCAAAGCTGCACCCTTGGTTTGTAAACGGCATGTATCCCTGTACAGCATGTGTTCTGCACTGTTCTGCAAATACTACACACAATTATTATACGACGGCACAAACAGGTGGGAAATCTTTTATTTTCAATTTATTTCAGGGTAGAATGTGACGATTTTGAGACTTAATAATGAGATTTGTCGCTTGTTGTACTTTTAAAGCCAGTATTTCATCTTAATTTAGTGTTTTATTAACAATTTTGCAGAGTTCCGCAGAGTTCTGCACGTTCTGCAAGTTCCGCAAAATACCCACACCCACGAACACTCCCCTGTTTCTCAATGTACACAATTTTTGTGTACAGGTGTAATGTACTGGTTCCCTTTAGAACTTTTAATGAATGCGTTACCAATACGCAAAGGGTGGCACAAGTTGACGATTACCAACCAAATGGCCACCTGCACCGCACCCGTGGGAATAACTATGCCCAGACTTCTTCATATAAAATTGAACCATGAGAAACCAAAAGCACCCGACTGTAAAGTACGTGTGACAGCTCCGCTATTTATTTACTCCCCACGATTTTTGTTTGTTTCAAAGTTGTTTTCAACTAGTTTTCTATGACAATGTTCTCAGACCTGGAGCAGCGTCAGTCCCTAAGTTTGCAAAAGGTTCCATCCGCATTAGTACACAACCATGTCAGTTTGGAGTTCGTGTTGAACATGATGAATCATTGAATGTGCAGTAATTATATAGTCGCTAGAGGGCGCTATATTGATCACATCGCTCAAGCCTCCATCTCATGTTCAGCTCACATTGTCATGATTGTCATTGGCTAGGCCACTCAATCATGTAAGTTAATGTACTTTTTATTCTGGACATATTTACCATAGAAAATGTTCTCTCTGATTTTATAGTCGCCTGAAGACCTGAGATGACAGACATTTCATCATGGCATCCACTCAGGAAGTTGACTGTTTCCATGACAACACTGAAGAAGAGGAGGAGGATAATTTTGTTGTTGATGTCGAGTGGAGTAAACTGAAGGCTTCCCACATGAAAGTATGAGATCATAACTACGTTAAGTTATCCTGGAGATTGTTAACACTTTAAGTAATTACCCCACGTTTTGTCAACAGTTAACATGAAGGGAGGAAGAAGTGTTGCAGATGTGGTTGTTTAATAATTTCTTTTATCGCTAGTAGTACCTTCTCCCTAATTACCATTCTCCTTTTTTATGATTCAAGGAGGGCTACAGAGATGGTTACAGTGCAGGACAAGAGGCAGTCTTACAAGACGCATTCAACAGAGGATTTGCCCATCATGTCCAACTGGAAACCTCTGCATCATTCTATAAGGGAATTCTTTGGTATGTTCAGTGTCAACTGTGACTTCAAGAAATGTCATATCTCCATGGTTAATGTCTCAAGAAAAGAATGCTTTGTGAAGTTTGTGTATGTTTCCCTCCAAGAAGTACCAATGCAAATCCATACTTATATTTAGTTATTGCTCTGAATTGTGTTTTGTAGGGCATTGAAGACATTTGCAGAGCGATCTAGAACTTCCAAAACCCCACCAACGTTGAGCCTGAGTGCCAGTGATGAATCAAGAATAGCATCACTGCTAGAAGAACTCAGAATTATTTCTGGAGGAAATGACTCAACAAGTGAGAATACAAACTCAACTGATGTTGATGAAGAAGATAAAACTGATGCTGTTTCAGAAAACTGTCTCTCACAAAATCCAGAGGGCAGCATTGTAAGTGATCAAGCATCACATTGTAATCCTGCTGGGTGTGTTTGTCTCTCAGCTGATTCAGATGGAGAAGCATCACATGGTGGAACTTCAAAGCCAAAAAGTTTGAATGAAGGAACATTTGAATACGGTGGTCAGCACTCTAATAAAATGAAAGAAGTTGCTGGTAATTGTAAGGATTTACTGAAAGAATTAGGTCTTGAAAAAATGCTGCACCTACTTCCGTCAAAAAGGTGTTTGCTCAAGTAAACTCTGAAATCAAATTCCCAGTTTTCAAGAATAGGGGAACCAAATTCACAAATTATTCAGAAACATGCAGATATTCTAGATTTTTTCTGACTCCCAGATTTATTCCTCGTAGAACACTGCAGCAAAATACTAAGATTAGTTAATATATTCAATACTATAGTCATACATGTTTACAGAATATTTCGAAGTGTCAAATTTGTGGTTAAAATAATTTACGATGATAAAACCAAATTGTGATGTATATGCAAGAGAAGCTCTTAGTATGATTTTAATATTAAAATACTCTTAGTACGCAATTCCAGTACAATTTCTGTCGCCTTCTCCAGTTAAGAAATCTTGTGATGTACTCTAAAATTGAGTTATTTATACTTTTAAAAACTACAAGGAACAAAAATGCCCCTTTAAATAATGCATCGAATTAAAGGGAATATACATCATTGGCTTTTGCTGCAATTATCAGAAATGAACTATTTGAGGGGTTAGTAAAATAGATCAAATATTGTTTAACTGACATGTTTGAAGTTTTGTGTTACGAAAATGCTTGAAAAACCAAGAAAAACAAAAATGTTTAAGTAGTCTGGTTCCCTGACTCCACTAAAGATAAAATGGATTAATTTATAGATGTCAGAAAGTTGTAAGATAAGGGAACCAGTCTAGCTGGCCTGCACCCGTTCATGAACATGTAACCAATAGCAAACAAAATTTGGACTGAAAAAAAATTGTAAATTTGGAGCAGTAGTTGAAAAATTGTTAGGTTTTTCCAACGGTGGTCGGCCGACCACCGTTGGAAATGTATACAAAATACAATTTTCTTGAAAATGACTTGACACCAGGTGCCATAATTTTAAAGGATGTTTTAGGCTGGCATTTACCAACATCCTAGTAAGGTATTTCGTAAAAACTTGGTAGTTTTATTTTTTTGATGTTTGCAAATGTTGTATATTCCCTTTAACTCTACGTTTTGTACATGTATATCAATCAGAATTTATCTTTAGGTGCTATTTTGTTCTAATACATTATACCAACACTGGTGGCCAAAGAAATTTTAGTTCTCCATTGACAAAGACAATCTGGCAACAGTCAACACATATTATGAGTTATGCCAAGTTTGACAAAATCCAGTGTTGGGCAAGTTTTGATTGTTGATGGAGGTAGCAAACTTTTTAAGTACGCTGGTCAATTGTGGAAGATTTTGGGCTTCAACATTGCACAATGTATGTGTATGTACATGTGCACGTATACAGCCCTGACATTTGGTTAAAAATAAACATAAATACTAATATAAATAAAATCATGGAAAACGGCTTGAAATAAAAAGTATCCCATCTATCTCATGGTCGTTAAAGGGTTTAATATGTCACCTTAAATTCACAAGTAACTTGTAATTAGCATGTAACTCATTACACATATTTTAGAATTACACTGTAAATATTAAAATATCAAATTTCAGATATTCAGCAAGTGTCCTTACTTTGCCCTCAGTGTTGTGCTGAACAAGTTCTAATCACATTTCAACAAAGAAGGTATTCATCTGTTGGAAGCAGTCCAAGCATTGTATACAAATAGTGATTCCTGTCATCAGCCTGCGATCACATAAATACTTTTGAAATCTATATATTAAAATGTACCTCTAATAAACAGAGTAATAATTAAGTCAATGCAAGTCAATCACCAGTCGATTCACAATTGAATTTACAAGTGTGACCAGAAGTGACTGACTAGCAGTGGCATAACTCAGGGGCCCACTTTCCTTCAGTACCCCCACTCCACCACTCCCACCCCACCCCCCCCCCCCAAAAATGTAAGCACCCCCAGGTGCTCTCCAGAAGTTTAACCCTAGTTACGCCAATGCTGACTTGATTACAAATCTGCCTGTAAAATGCACACAAAACAAAATAATGTGCAGATTTTAGTTTTCCACTTGTACCATGTGAAGCGCATTTGCTTGGCCCACCAGAATGAGAATGATATCATAAATGCGTTTATCGAGATGAGGTTAACATGTATGTTAAAATTCATCAAACCACATGCACAATAAACCAAAGATCTGTGATTTACGGTCCTTTACCATCTTCACTCAGGCCTTGTATCAGTGGAAGTTTATGATTATAAACAAAAGCAAAAAGCACAAAAACTTCCATAAGTATAAGAATTCCAACATTTTCTAGAAGTTGCTAATCTTTACTGTTGTCATGACGATGTGTATCGTATATGATCAGATCTTGCTATGACCGTCTGTCGTCCATATACCTTCTCCGCCCGTTTCTCAAATGCCTTCACCATTTTCTTTACGACTTCGTCAAAGAAAAGCGTTGAAAGGTTGGAGTGGAGAACAGAACGGAACTCAAAGGATACCTGGAAACAAATCAGGCCAAATATCAATCCAATAGAAATACATTGTGTAATCTGTATCGGATGTTTAACAAATTGTGAAAAATTATCAGAGCTCAAGACAGCTTCTTAACAGTTGCTCCTCATTCCCCTACATTTACCACAATGAAACAAAATCAAACTATTGTGGGATCCCCCCCAAAATTGAAACAATGACAATTGATGCCATATTTTTCTTGTCCGGTGCAAATAATAGACAATGACACAATGTTAACGTAAACAATTGAAGGAATGTTTATTAAAATAATTAAGATCATGCAATCACACTTGGTAAAATACTTACAGAGAAATCTATGGTGCATGTATGTGGCTTGTATGGGATTCCCGGTCCAAACCTCCAAGTTGTTGACAGATGATTAAACAGTTTCCCATCGGTACAGACAGACTGAGGTGAAGTAACAAGATTAAGGTTGCAATAATGGCTGATACATAACTTACGTACCATCAATAAAACATTAACAAAATCACACAACAGAGTTTGGAATTATCACACAGATTTTTTGGTCATTCAAAATGAGAGGTGTTGTGTTTGTACATATTATAACTGTAGAATTAATCCCACTGATTAGATGACACAAGTGCATTCATCTGTATACAGTATAGGAATCTCGGTTCACAGTTTTGTACCCCACTCCTTAATCTTTTAAAATAAAAAGCTACTACAAAATAACATACACTGTATCTTTTATAAAAAATGCAGTGAATATTGGACGTTGGGATTATGATTGAACACATTCTATGAGTTGGCCACAGCCTTTATTACTTGTTACTATACCTCATAAATATTCATGATCAAGAGCCGAATTCTCACTGGTCCATTAACCATCACTTGCCGTAAACTATTTTTGCCGTTTACCAAGCAAGCGCGCGAGTATCCACAGAGAGGGTAAATACATATGTGTTACGCATGCGTAGCAGACTGTTGCATGGGTTAGTCTACTTCGAGTGCACTTTACGAAGCACGGGTGTAATACGCACGCGCGAACATCGCCCTAGGGCGGCACACGTATTGTTAAGTAGCATTTTCCCGAGCTCGATGATGCTGAAATGGAGAATATTGTGGACAATAAATATGCCTCCTCTACTAACAAAAGTAGTCCACAATGTGGTGTCAACTTTTAGGAGTTACTGTATTGCAAAAGAACTGAACTTTTCTGAGGTTGAGCAATATTCTTCTGGTGAGTTGGACAAATTTTTCCGAAGATTTTATGCCAGCGAGGTGTAGGCCTATACTGCAACGAGAAAATTTGGCAACTGAATGTGTATGAGGTATAGTAAAACAAATATAACGTGGTTTATTTCAGTTGGATAGTCGATATAAGCTCCCTGAGGTATTGGAAGTTGACAAACTAGTTCATTCGGCTTTGCCTCGGGCACTACTTTGTCAACTTCCAATATCTCGGGGAGCTAATATCGACTATCCACCCTCAAATCATGTTATATTTGTATATTATTTCATGGCTTCACTTACTTTAACTAGATGAGGTTTAACTACAGTTACTGTTGAGGTGTATCTCTCAACAAGCGGTGGAAATCCAACCTCTAAGTCTGCTTTGAAGTGGCCAGCTTTTCCAGACCTTATAACTGAATGAGTGCACCATGGTACAAAAGCTTTGTAGTTTTCTACATTACTGACTACTTCATACATCTCCTCCATGGAATACCTAAAAGAGAACACAACAAAATATAACTCAATCTAGAAAATATGAAAATGGAAAGTATCTATGTTCATTTTCTACCTGTCCAATGGATCAAACAAATTTTAGACGAGCAGTTTTCAGACTTAAAATTATTTATGATTCTGAACAACATGCATTTTTTAAGGGGGAGAGGGGAAGACAAGACACCCCCCCCCCCCCCAATTAGTATTAGTCTTCAACAATGAAACAGGAAAATGTCAACAAAGTCCCCACCAAAATATTGATTTTAAAGGTTCCAAAGGTTTACAGAAACAGAAATGAGAAACAAGTCTACCAACCCATTCTGAAACAATGATAAACTATGATAATAAAGATTTCAGAGTATATTTATGTTTCAGTAATTTGAGAATTCTCACTTAGGCAGAAAATCCTTTCCTGTGTGTTTCTTGTACCCCCCCCCCCCCCCGAAAAAAACCAAACACTTTCCTGTTACATCATCAGCAAAATAACATTGCCCGGCCCAGTCACCTAGGTTATTCTCTTACTAGATTTAGTTATTATTATACTACAATTTTTCTACTCACCCAACAATTCTTCTTTCTGAATATTCTTTACTTTTATCAAGAAATGACAAGAAAGATCTCGATGGTACTTCTTGTATTTTGGGTAGTAAATGGGGCCTGCATAAACATCTCTCCTGGATAAAAATTCTTTGATGTTTATAGAGTATGTTGATACCCGCATATACATGCCTGCTACGACAAAAGCTGTAAGAAAATGAAAGAAAAGGAAAAACACAATTACATGTACATACATGTATGTCAATTCAATGTTTCATTTTAATTTTAATTTTCACATCTGGATGTGGGATGGCAGGTCCTCGACCATACGTGGCCTAGTGATTATTATTTCTTTTGTTTTGCCCATCTTGATTGTGATATATATTTTTACATGGCATGAACAGATGAACTAATAATAATAATAATTTGATATTTATTTTAACATTTCAATTGTCAGACCACTTCACTTCCTTTAGCCTTTGCTTTGGCTTTCATGGGATGACTTTAAAATTAAATGTTATACTCAAAGCTATATTAAAACATGCGAAGATACTTTGAATCCTTCCTGCCTGCAACCATTTTGAATTCATGTGCATGTTTTACGTTTGTACTCATTGTACATGTATTTGTAGAACATAATGGAGTGAATTTTGAAAGTGTACAGTCTAAATGCAACGCGCAAGAACAACAATGCAGACATGATGGACAGACCATGGAGGAAGGAACTCCTCCATGGACAGACCATGGAGGGTAGAATTATTCTACCTGCATGGATGGACAGACAGACATCGATACATGAACTTGATCATGTTGATCATGTTGATGAAGCTACACTACTAGACCCGTGAACGTGGCTTGTAAACTACGCCACGTTCGTATGTCATTTCGAACCTGGCGAACGTGTCCCTCTGACTCCCTCCGTTACACACACTGGACGTTATTTTGCCCATGCAATAAGTACTCACATATGAAGCTGTCTTGAATTCTATTTGTACGTCAAAACTTGCATTTGACGAAAATTGAGGAAAATTCTGGCCCCGGTTCATGAAGTCCGTCCGCTACTGCTAGCTGCCATTTTCTCCCAACTGACGCATGCCCATTGCGTTTGATTTTCGTGTGATTCGACGGCTGTTTACTGTCGCAGCTAAAACAGACATCGTTTTAGACAAGTTTCAAGTCCTTTCCTCTCTCACCGCACCGCACGCGGTCGCACGTGCGCCCGCGTGTGTGTGCACACACGTACTGTACACGAGATGAGCCGAGCAGCCAATCGTTTGCGGGGTTTTTTTTTCGGGGTTGCGACATGAAACAGCCGTCAATCTGTCCAAGCGACTCAGACGCGTCCGGGGTTATTTGTCAGGGTCAGGTTAAAATCTAATTTCTACACGTTCGTATGGGTCTTTACTGATGGGCAAATTTCGTCGAAATTACATAGCCGAAACAATCGGACGGGCAAATTTAGATTTCTAGGTGAGTACTCAACACCCATACGGAATTATGTATGTCGGATCGATTTCGCCAGGTTCGAAATGAAACAAGAACGTGGCGTTGTATACAACGCCACGTTCACGGGTCTACTACTAGTACTACACTACGTACGACGTATAGACATTGACAAGTCAAAACTGAGAAATACTCACTTCCTTAGCGATCTGTTTAAGGGCCTGAGATTTAAACATGTAGCCGAACACATCACGTCTGCATTCTAAAGTAGCTGTACCACAAGTTATCAATAACAATATTATTTATGATTTCACAAAGCGCCGAATGTAGAGCAACTAAGTGCATGTTGAGTTTGACATAACATGACCTTTCCACAGAAACCGGCACGTACATGTACATGACGTAACTATCGTAGCTGTGTGACGTTTTGTTCGCCGTTGGGTCAGGGTTCCAGGTTTGGCCTTGCATTTACTTAACACGGTGGTTCAAGGATTCTATAATAATTATGCACCAGTCTAGAGGTCGACAAGATTACGTATGGAAGGCAAAACGAAAAAATATCAAATGTGATTTCTAAGAAAATTTTTTAAAAATGAAATAAAACAAACCTCATCAAAAAATGCACTTCCAAATTTGTAGATTTGGTAACCTATTCACCAACTATCCAACTAAAAGAGGACACTATCAGAAAATAGGTTGTGTTTTTCATGGCTGCACAATTAAAGATGTTCGCGCGATTTTTAAAAAGGGAAACAATGTTCAAAAAGGTAGTGACTGGGGGGGGGGGGGCAACAACTTTTTATGGGGGTGTTTGCAACACCCCCCCCCCCCTCCCGGCTTCGCTGCTGCTTTGGGCACTATAACACATGACACTCCACTTATATTGGAGAAGATTGAATAAAGGAAACTTAGTTTAGATAAAATAACACAAACACCTCACAAGGATGGAGACAGAGTCAAGAAGCACTTCATACAGGTCTGCACACTCACAGATTTTTGTATCTTTATTTAGTGCAATGCAATATCTGCTTCCATGAAATTAAAGTCTGGCCTCTGGTTCTACATGTTTGATATTATTTTTTTTTAAACCAGACACATATGCATGAAAGAAACCCGTGAACAAAAAGAGAAATAATACCTAGAGAAAAAAATCATTTGTTTCATCAGAAATACATGTTCTGCAATTACAAAACCTAGACTTTTTGTCATAAAGTACAACACATCAAGAACAGATTTAATATAGTATTATGAACAATACCTATACCACAATAAGGAAACATGATGTAAAATTGTAAACACTGATCAAGGGCGGATCCGGGGGGGGGGGGGGGGGGGGGCAATGCCCCCCCAAAAAGACCACCCCCCCCCCCTTTTTTTTCTTTTTTAAGTGAGGTTGCAATAAAGGCAGGCACTGCATACACCTCCAGCTTTTCCTCAAAAAAAAAATTGGTTAAAGTGGTCAGAAATTGCCTCAGATCACACCACAGAGCATCTGGAATCCGAAAATTGTTCTGGGCCCTTAAGTAGACCCCGAACACCGTGCCGTAATTTTTGGGGAACCCACTTTTTTTTGCCACTCCCCCCCCCCCCCAAAAGATGATGTTCTGGATCCGCCCTTGCCACTCATACCTTTTTTTTCACTAAAAAACAACATTTGTACAAGTATTTGAAATTTAACCTCACCATTTTCAGAGCTATTCACACTTTATAATCATACCTACCAAAAATGACTTTAGCCCCACTTTAAGGCAAAATCTTATCTTCAACAAAACCTGCAAGGATAGAAATCTCAATTGTGTTATTGATTAAGAAAAGGTTAGAAGACAGAATCTTAGCTTGGCAATGAACCAAATTAACGTGGTGAATCACTGCTCAACCAGATATCTGGGTTTAGGGGATGATTTTCAAAGAGTAGAACGAAGAAATGTTTGTAACGAAAGGTTACCATTTCCTCAAGATTCAAAACAAATTGATTAACTCATTCACAGCTTGCTATATACAAATGTATCATTTTAAAAGGTATGACCATAGAATTACTCAGAAATCTGTTTTGTGACTTTTATGGCCAGTAAACTAAACAAGACAACCGAATATTAAAGGGGTAATATGTTCCCATCCCATCGTCAGTGTTAACTTTACATGGAAAGAATGGACACATTGTCAGGTCACGACATGTGCTCTTTTATACAAATAAAATGTTTTGTTTTATTAACTTAACCATGCAACATTGGCCTCTTGGGTGCTATGACTTTTTGTTTTAACCTTAACTCCCTAGGGGGTATGCAAAATCGTATTGAAATTGGAGGATTCGGGACTGTTAGGGCTATTGAAGAACCATATGATAACACAAAACATTTGAAACAAGATTTTGAAGTGTTTTATCTTTGAGTATCCTGACCGACAAAACGTCCTCATCTTTTCAAAGCCATCTTGCTTTCTGACATTTTACAACTTTCTGATATTATTTCAATTCATAATCTACTAAATAAAAGCAAGTAACTTTGTCAAAATGTGAAACATTGAATACTCAATTCTTACCAAGCAAAACAAGGTTCTCGGTTTTTTTAATCACTCACTGATTTTCACTGTATGTACAAATCAAACTCTGTCCAGATCAATCGGTGAATCAAAAATAGAAGTGATGTAATAGGATCCTAAAATAGCCATTCACATGTCTATCACAAGTCATCCTGTCCCATTTCAACTCATAAGCTATTTAAATGAACAAGGAAGCATTCCTTAGTTATTGTTAATCCCATGTAACCTGTGACTGGACTTGTAATTTACTTGGACTTATAATTGACTTGTGATCCATTGTAAGTACCTCAGCTACAACACTGCTGGCTTTGATTGTTGTCAAACTAGACAAATGCTAGACAGGGAATGGTACTGGAGTAACGCTTAACTCAGACATGAAGAAGAGTAAATCTGGAGTGTGGCTGACCATCACAGACAACTTACAAGAAATACTCCAGTTCATATCTAACGTATTGATTCTTCTCATCATTGGGAACCCGTGGATAGCCGGCTACCAGTGAATCCTGTGCACCGATGTACAATGTATTGTAGATCTTCCAATACACATCACGGACCTTCCTTGCTGGGTGGAACAGACCCTGGAAGAGAAAGACACAGGAAATTGTTACAGTACTTGACTTGCAATAAGACACATAATATGCAAAAGTCATAAAAGGATTTATCGTATCAGTGTGGTACATATAGAGACCAATTAATGACTTTTGTTAACATTCTGTCAGATTTCAACTACTTGTCAGCTAATTCAGGAAAACATCAATTTGAGTATGAAGAAGTTGCATTGCATACTGTTGCATCTTAATGGCACGTTGACCAACTCTCAATTGTTAGTGCTTATCCACAGTCATTAATAATGTGAGTACATGTACTATGTAGTACCTGTAGTGCATACTGTAGCATCTTGTTAGCACCTAGACCAACTCTCAATTGTTAGTACTTAACCACAGGCATTAATCAAGTGAGTACTATGTAGTACCTGTAGTGCATATTGTAACATCTTGTTAGCACCCAGACCAACTCTCATCCCTTCAATTGCATCCATGACTGCTTGGATGACATGAGGCGACGTCTCAAAGATGTTAGGCCAGACAAAGTTAAGGAGATGAACAAGAGCATCCTCACATCCGAATCCAAACACACCCAATGACATGTGCTTGATGGCTGCACAAGCAGTCTGACGATGAACCAGGTCTCTGCAAGAATTCAAAACAATTATGAAAAATATCAAACACATGAAGAACATTACAGACTAACAGTGGCAACAAACACAAAATTTAACCAGAGCAACAACCATCAGGGAATATTTGTACAAGAATTGGTCAACAAAATGATTTCGAATTGCGAACTCCTTAAGACGTTTCTGTTTGATTACATAAAAAATATAGGCAAGCTGAAATTCTGGTCTTAGAGACTGTTTGCCAGAATCATTGGTTCCTTTACAACACATTTTTGTAATAAAACAAATTTGTCCGTTGAGCAAAAGTTATGTATACAGACTTAAATAAAATTGACAGACAAAAATATGAGAGCACATAACAGACAGACAGCCTGACTAACAAACAAACCTACCTATCCATCAATGCATCTTCCAGTAATGGTGTCACAGCATAGATGTAATCTTTTCCCATCTCACCGATATACTCAAACAAGAACGACAGTGATTTGAGTACACCATTCTGCACGTTCAGCTCAGGTACTCGATACTCATTCATCAGGGCAGGTAGAACAGTAAATGGTGAGCAAGTCTCAGCAACAATAGCGATGGCTACTGTGGTACACACACGATTCTGACGCTCTTGTACCTTGAGATTGTTCAGAAGGGTTGCCAGTACATCATGGGGACTGAAATTGAAGAAAAAAAAGACTTTGTGAAGCTTGAAGAATATGAAAACAAATAAGAAGCCATACTTACTGACTGAACTTAAGCTCGGCTATGGCTAATCCAACAGCAATTGTAGTCTAGGGTATAGGCTATGGTTAGTAATACAGTACTTACCCAATAGCCTTGGCAATGTATCCAAACGTGTTGACAGTAGCTCTTCTGATAGCTTTCTTGTGAGCCTTGAGGAGTTCTAGAAGCTCAAAGCAAATTCTCATCCATTCTCTGGCTGAGACGTACTCTGCTCCACGATCAGCTATACGACCCACAAGATCAATGCAGTTCTCCTGTACCTTCTCATGTCTGTAGACAAAAAAGGAAGAAAATAAATAATTCAGAGTGTAACATGTAAATTTTTTTTTTAATTTTTTTTTTTTTTTTTTAAAACCATTTGCCACTGAGACATCCATTTCTCTCAAAGCAAGCTCACTAAGTCAGCTTACAGGTTTGGTAGATCATTTGTCATTTGTGCATTTTTTTTCGTTTGAAGCAACAAAGTGCTCAAAATCTAAAGAAGGGTGCTCAACAAATAATCTGATGAACTTTTAGCTCTGAGAATGCTGTATATACCGAGAAAACAATATTCTAGCATCTCGGTTTTAATTCAAAAGTTGCCAAGTCATGTTTTGAATTGTGCCTGAAATCAGCATCCGGGACACGTTGTCATTCAGCCAATTGCAGCTACACGATGTCACGCACTAAACTGACAAATAATAGCAACCGCGCTCACGTGAGCGTCATGTAAATGCTCGCGCGCACCCATTCACAGATTCTCTGAATTACAAACCAACTACTATCAGAAATGTCCAAAAATGCGACACTTGACACATCTTTGGATATGACCTTTTTTTTTTTTTATTGTTTTCTTTTAAATAACAGCATGCCAAAAAGAATAATTTCACAGGAAGTTGAGTGCCATTACTATCTTTAAACCAAGTAAGCTTTTCAACAATAATTTGATCAGTTATTTTTTGGAAAGCTGCAAATGATCTA